CAATCAGGTTGCGTTAACGTGCAAGACGATTTTGCCGAGGTTCGGAGCTCTGGGAGGACGAGGCTGGCGGGATAGGATAGCTGGATGCTGGCAGGATTATCATTGTGCAGATGGGTGCCTCTGTAACCTTTGATGGCTTCTGATCAGCCCTGAATTTTCTTTGTTGGGGGACGGGGCAAGGATGGGGTGTTAAACTTGTGAAAATAATGTGGGTGGTTTAAAGTCTTTTAAAAGTAAGAAGTATCCAAATTGAATTTGTTATTTGGCCTGCAAAAAGATACATATTAATTTAAGGTTAGATCAGTAAGGCTTTTTTCTCTACCTGGAATTAGTTAATGAAAACCAAATTTATTGATATTTCCAGCTTTGCTTTAATTCTGTGCGAGTCAAGTATGAGATGATCTTTCCTTTGAAAAATCTTACAGTTTTGGGGGGAAAATCGCTATAGCAATAGTATCTAATGTGGAGCAGAAGATACAAATTAAGCCATGATTTGGGTGGTAGGGTGGGCTCCTGTGTGCTGCATGAGAGGGGAGTCCAGTGATAGGTTTCAGGTTCTGTGGGGTGAGTGAGTGGCAGGTGGGGGCCCGGAAGCGGAAGCTCATGTGAAGGCTGGGATACACGAGTCCTGGGCTTCTGGGGAAGGCAGAGAACATGAGTGGGTGCACGTCTTGCGCTCCAGTGCTTGGTGCTTCCCCCCTTGCCCGGAGCTTTTAATATGTTTGCTTTCCTGACTCAAGTTGACTGAGCTGAATGGCCATCATAGTCCGCGGTCTCTCAGACTCGTGTTGTCTCAGGACTAACCTCTCTTTAAATTTGTTTTTCTTTTTAATGTTTATTCGTTTTTGAGAGACAGAGAGAGACAGAGTGTGAGCGGGGAGGGGCAGAGAGAGTGGGAGACGCAGAATCCGAAGCAGAGAATCCGAAGCAGGCTTCAGGCCCCCAGCTGTCAACACAGAGCCCGACGCGGGGCTCGAACCCACGAACCGCAAGATCATGACCTGAACCGAAGCCGGACGCTTAACCGACTGAGCCACCCGGGCGCCCCAGGACTAACCTTTCTTTAGTATTAAAATGTTCACGTGTTGTATTGTGTTAAAACAGCTTAACATAGAAAATGGTGGCCTTTTTTTTCTCTCATGGATGTTCTTATGTGATACATAAAAGATAGACAAGAAGAGGGTCACGAATTGAGTAAATTCTAGCACTTGTTGAACAATGTTTTTATTGAATAAAGGACAGACTCTTGAAATCAAACAGTAGCCTTAGAATTCACCTTGAAAGTTAACGGTGTATTAAGTATTTACCTCTTGAAACAAACTGAAGGGTAAATGTCCTTGTAGGTAACCTGAAGGGGAGGGACAGTTCCAAGTGCCATTTTGGTGTGTAGGAATGTTGTCTTTTTAAGAAATATTCCAAGTACGTGGGCCACTGGCCGGCAGCCTAGAGATACTTTTTATGTGGAGATTTTGATGGATGATATTTGTTAAAATGGTGTTTGACCTGTATTCAGTTTCTGTTTTGGACAGATCTAATTTTAGGCTTCATGACATTGAAATGTAAACATAATATGTTTGTTACAGATTTACAGAAACCCAGAAATTTGGTTCATAGAGTAGTGGCGAGAGAAGAAAGCCAGTGAATTTGTGGTTTAAGTCATAGAAGCTAGGGTTTTACCACATTTAATGGCTTAAGAAGGGAGAAGTTAAAAAAAAAAACTTTTTGTTTTCTTTGTTTTTGTTGGTTTTAATCTAAAGTCTAAATTATTTCTCTCTAGATTTATTTAAGTAACCTCTACACCCAACATGGGACTCGAACCCATGACCCGAGGTCAAGAGTCACATGTGCTACCGACTGAGCCAGGCAGGTGCCCCCAGAATCATTTCTCTCTAAACTGTGGTCTTACTACAAATCATCCTCCACGTGAAAGCTTGTTTTCCAGTTCTAAAAGCAATAAATTGTTCGAATTGCAGGAAATTTTAGAATGCAGAAAAGTTTTAAGGAAAAAGATGGCTTATGGTCATAATCCCATCCTCAATTTTTGGATAAATTTTCTCTCTCCATTCTTTCCTTCCACCTTCTTCTTTAGTTTGTAATTTGACTTTGTTGTGATCTTCCTCTAAATAAAAGTGCTTTGCTGTTTTCCATTGTATTCCATACTGTAAGCAGTTTTGTTCATTACAAATTTTAAATTTGTAAGTAAAATTTTTTGTTAACATTTATTTATTTTTGAGAGACAGGGCACGAGCAGGGGAGGGGCAGAGAGAGAGAGAGGGAGACACAGAATCTGAAGCAGGCTCCAGGCCCCGAGCTGTCAGCACAGAGCCTGACTCGGGGCTCGAACTCATGGACTGCAAGATCATGACCCGAGCTGAAGTCGGACGCTCAACCAACTGAACCACCCTGGTGCCCCCAAACTGAAATCATTTTTTAGATGTTCATTTTTGAGAGAGAGAGAGAGAGAGAGAGTGTGCGTGTGTGCAGGGGAGGAGCAGAGAGAGAAGAGGACTAGATAGGACGGGAGTGTGGTTGTATAAATCCTGCCATACACGGAGCATTTTCTGTGTCACAAGAACGTTTTTTCTACCAAGCTTCATATACGTGATCTTAACCAGATTCTCAGTAATAGCTTAGTATATTTTACAGGCAAGGAAACCACCTTAGAGGGAGCCTGATAAACCGGGGTCTTCTTGAGACTGAACCCCTTGTTGGCTTTCAGATGGTTTTTAAATGATAAATACTTTAAAAAAAAAACAAACAAAACCAGTTTGCTTTCCGGCTCCCCAGGTGACCTTACCCCATGCCCCTCCCACATGGCGGGCCTCGGAGAGGAGTGACTGTAAGTGAGAAAGTATTAAGGGGTGAGGGCATCACCTCGGCTTCCGAAGGTCAAACGGCTGAGACTGCTCATGCCCCGACTCTAACTCAGAAAAGGAAGGTCGGTGGGAGTGGTTTTGAAACAACTTGGGTCCTTGCCGTGCACGGAATCCTCTTTGAAGGAGCCAAGCTTTGGTGCGCTTAGCTCTGTCATCGTTTTAAAAGCTCCTCCCCCTAACGTACTTGGATGGCAAACTCTAAGATTTCTCTAGTATTCAAGTTCCAAGAAATGGAAGTTTGTTATTTGGCATGGATATTGTTTGAGAATATATTTTATGGGTTTGTTTTGTTTTAAAGATGAGTGTTGAAGAAATATAATTGAAAACAGAACCTCCTCTTTCACCCAGAAAAATCTGTCCACACAGGTAGAGGGAAGAAAACAGTTTTCTTACTGGGTAAGCATTAAACCGGAGGGCCACGGGCCTCACAGGCTGTCCGCTAAGCAGGCTCCAGAGACCAAGAGATGTCGCTCTTCTGTACAGTCAAGTGGTTACAACACTTGACATCCATGTTTTCAAGATAAAATTGCTCATTTCCTCACATCTTCATGACCAGAGGTAGGTTTTGCAGTTTGGAGTTCGGTGGCAAATGAGGCCCATCTCTACCTAGGAGACTGGGAGACGTCGGGCCTTGTCTTTCTTGAGGATTAGGTTTCAGGGATACCTTTCAGGTGCTAGGAAAACGTTCCTGAGATGGGAGACCGGCTACGGGCTCTTTGGCTTTTAAAGAGATTCACTTACGTTTGGAAAGTGTTGAGAAAGAAATTGTGAACAAAGGGAGGGAGGGAGAATCTCTTCCCTTTATGATCAACTGGGAGAGGGAAGCCTCTTACTTGTAACTTGCCTTTAGGCCAGTAATCGTCTAGACCCACCACTTTGCATCTATAACCACGGACTCCCTTGGTGATTTCAGGCTTGGTGGGTAAAATGCCCCGGATCTCCGACATCGTGTTTGTTGCCGGGATCCAAAGGCTCTTCAAACAGTCCTTAGTTTTATCTGTTTTTGCTTACAGAAGTACTTTGACAGCATTTTATGGTCACGGTGTTAACGCGTGGTTTTCTTTGCTTCACTATGGGACTTTTAGTAGTTGGCACCTGTTGGGCTTCGTGAGAGTAGGAAGGAAATCCGGACAGCGATACCTGTAGAGTTAAGAGTGTCGGCACCTGTGACACATTGCGATGAAATGACTGAGTTGTAAGTTGTGTTACCGGTCTCGAAAATGTGTACCGGCAAACTCTAGATGCTTCTGGACCTTAGACCAGAATGGTTAAGCTGTCTGTTGTCACAAGCCTTTGTCTGAAGGGGTATGGCTGGAGTTAGATGCTAGTTAATGTGGGTGAAGTTTGTTGGTTCGGACTAAACCCTGACCGAGTGTCCGATACCTGGCATGTCTTTTTCCGAGCTATCTGAAAGGGGCTTCTCAAACAGGAGTTTGCATGTTTGTAGTCGAAGTTCTGATCATCAATTAAAATGAGAAAACTTGACCTGTTGGCTCTGTATTTATGAACACGAAATAAGTTTTCATTGTACTTGGTGCGTTAACTCTCTGACGTCTGTACCGAAATGCCTAAGGAACTAATTTGGGTGACAGTAATTTTGTAAGAGTGGAGTTGAATTTTAAAGCATTGTCAGCTTTATTATTTTAGTTAATGGTGTTTTGAGAAAAGGTGTGAGTGTGAATTACAGCGGGGTGGAGCGTGACAGATGAGGCCTCGATGGCGGACAGAGTCTGTATCCTTCCAGGTGGTGGGACAGAATGGAATTAAGCGTCACAGGAGGAGGTAGCTTTAGAAACCCAGACAGACGCCAGGAGAGGGGAGATCTGCTTCTGGGAAGCATGGTTACCGACCCACATGGTGTTCGCGCAGTTTCAAAGTCAGATTTTACGGGGCGGGGGGGGGGGGGGGGGGAATTTACTGCCAAGAATTCTCCCTTCTATCTAACTGGATTGTGCCAACAACCTGCACACGTTCTCAGTTGTACTAGAACATAACAAAGGCTAATTTTGAAGGCAGCTCTTTCAGGTGTGTACTGTTTTCTTGACTCTGAGTAGAAAAATAAGTTACCAGGAATCTTACTCTGATAAGTGAAGTATGCAAAGTTTGTCAAATAGGAATTTTCTTAAAGTTGGTTTTTAACAATGACTTTAATGTTCTAAAATATTCTCTCTGATTGCTTTTAGGTTACCTAGGGTGTGAATTAATACAGACTTGGAAACTGAAAGAACTTAGAATCAGCATTTTGAGGTAAATATATACGTACTACAGCAGTGCTAAGACCTGCTTTGTTAACTGACTAGCAAAACGAACTTGTCTGTGAGATGAGAAAGCGTCACCTGTGCTCGAATGGCCTTCGCCCGACTAGACCAGACACGGATGAGTTTCACGGTTTCTTTTCCCGAGCCTCTGGGAGTGGAGACACTGCAGTCATTAGCGTAATGAGCACGAGCAAGGTTTGGTGTCAAAGCCGACAAAATCAACATTTGTTACTTAAATTAAGCTTCCCGTGTTAACACACTTCCTTAGTTTTTGATCTGTGATCTTTTACCAGAACCGCACCGAATTTATAGTTCTTTAGAACAGTATCGTTGGGGTGTGTTCTGAATTCTTTTATTCGTGAATGAATTCTGTAAGAGAGTTTATAGTGTGGATTGAACTGTTGTGTTTTTAATTCCATTCTGAGAAATTGAAATCGCTGACAGATTTCATGCACGTATCGCGGTGATTGGGATTTCTCAGCCAAGTGCCTCTTTCAGGGATCTTCGTTTCTTTGGTGTACGTGAATTTAGGAAATGACGTATACGTGGCATTGTCACTTTTACCCCCCGTTATTCTAGCTGCTATCTTTAGATTTTGTTTACTGTGTTTGATTTTCTTGTATTCCTTTTGCAGCCTTTTCTTGAACTTTCCTCTAACTTTTTCTTTTCCCCAGATCTCTGGGAATTAGGCATGCTATTGTTGCCAGCCCCCACTCTCTTGTTCTTTGTTTTAGAATAAGACTTCATATCCTAAAATAACCCAAACGTCTTTTGTTTAAAATGTAATACAAAATAATGGTCTTTTATTTAACTCTTCTTATCAATGGGGCTTTCTTGTAGATGTGTTTATATTCAGTTTTAAGTACAGGAACCTTAAACTTGGCTATTTTTGCATTTATTTTTAGAGCAGAAGCTTGGGCATGCTGTGATTTTCCAATAAACTGCTATCACAATGTCAAAATGCAGCTCGGACAACAGCAACACAGAGATCTCAAACATTAAAACGGTAAATCTGTGATTTATCTATCATACGTGGAAAGAGGAAGAGAGTTTGTGTGTTTTACTAAATTATTTCTGAGAAAATACTACGAAGAAGCTACACAATGGCCTCACCAATTTCGTGGATGTAAATTGTTTGTCCAGAAACTTAAACTCTGTCCTCGAGGAGCCATCACAAGGCGTTGTCTGTTGGCTCTGCAGAAGCAGTTAATCAATAATCAGTTCATCTGTGAAACTACAGAACGTTTACTTACCAGCAGGGATTCAGAGCTTTTCCTTAAGACCAGCTTAAGGGGAAAAAAAAATCTACTTAAACACACCAAAGAAAGTAAAAATTGGCAAAATTACAGATTGTTCTGTTTTCACATTATTGGATTACCTGTTGAGGTTTTTTTATCTTGGATTCGCTTTCCCTAAATAGAAAGTATCTCTGGGGCCAGCCACTGTACATTCAATCGGTGAAGATGAACTTAACTATTGTGACCTTACGGAAAAGCAGGTTGAGAGGGTTAAATCGCGGTCCCCTGTCTCCTTGCAGACCCTCTCCCGCACCCGCCCTCCCAGGAGAGGGTGTGGATTTCCAAAACCTACACAAAAACCTTTGGAACTGTGACGATTCTGTTCTGTACGTTATTGTGCGACAGTCGTGACTCTCTTGTTGAGTTTATCAAATACTCGCTTGAACTTGATTCTTCTGCACGCGTGCTCCTACACACGTGTGCCGGTGGAAGAATCAGGGTGTACATGCATCCCTGTGCAAATGCGTGCCAGGTGACCTGATGTCTGCAAGGCACACAGAAGCCGTTTGAAGGTGTTTATTGTCACTCACGTGGGCACGGTTTTCATTCTACAAACTGCACTGTTTGTCTGCCACGTTCTGGGGGTGGCTTGGTGTGGCGGGCGAACCGAGTGTGCAAGGGAGTCCCAGTCTCACCACTCATACATATTTACTTTTCGAGAGTCTTTTTTTGGAAACAGTTTCAAACGTGCAGCGAAGTCACAAGGTTAAGAGTGGGGCAGAGAATCCGCGCTTTGCCCCATTTGCTTAACGTGTTGCACACATTTGCTGTACGTGTATGTGGTTTCTTTGTCTGAACTATTCGAGGAGAAGTTGCGTACATCTCATGGCCCCTTACCCCTGGACACCGTGGGGTCTGCTTCTTAGGAATAAGGCTGCTTTCTTAAACAGCCTTAGTGCCGTGACCAGCCTCGGTGACTTTGACAGTTCTATCAGGGGCTCTGTAATGCCCTCTGTGGCATCATTCTGCAGTACAGGATCCAGTCTGAGATCACTCACTCCAGTTAGCTGTCATGTCTCTTTATAGTCTTTCATCTGGAACATTTTTAGAGTTTTTCTTTGTATTTTACACATTTTTAAAGGATACAGTCTCCCTTTGGAAAAATAGAACGTTCTTCTCATTTATTTTTTTAGACTCTTTCTCGGGACTTATTAGTTACAGTTCTGCCACTGTTATCTCTGTGAGAAAGAATGGTGGCAGCGGTGACAGCAGCAGGAAGGGGTGTCGCGGGTTCCTGGCTCCAAGTGGTGTTGGCAGGTGAAGGAAGAACTCTTTGGGGACTGGCATTGCCACCTTCCTCCTTTTTTATTCTCTTCAGCGGTCAGGATTTATGCTGATTTCCTGACCCCTTTTGCCATAGTTTTGATCGGTCTTGGATTGGTATTTGAGTTGGGTGGAGGCCGAGGGAGGGGGTCAGGCTTTCGGCATAAGTCGTCCCAGACAGTGAGCAGCCCACGGTAAGGAAAATGCAGAATGGTTTGACCGGGTGGTAGTCGGTGGGAGGGGCCTGTGGTCTGGGCCGTGGGCCTGCAGAGTGGCCCAGTGGACCTCAGGAGATGAGGTGCCATGGCTTTAGCTTTGGGTTCTTGGCAGCCGTGTTTGGTTAACCCACGGGCGTGCAAGCAGCGGGCCTGAGGAGTTGAGAACAGTGAACGCTGCACGGGGGGTAAAAAGAATGGTTGGTGGGGCTTTGGTTCGGTAGACGATGAGCGGATTATTTCTAGGAAGAACACAGTTGGTAGCGTTCAGACCGTGCTTCGCAGTCCTCCTCCCAGAGGGATGACGAGAACGATCGTAGGTCATCCTGGCTGGTCTGTGCCGTCTGACCTGGCCGCACCTGCGTTGCTGCTGTCCTCGGCGCCCGCAGCCCTGTGTCCCCCACTACTTACAGGAGATCACACCGGCACTGGCCAGATGTTGAGTTGTGGTCCCCTGAACTGACCTCTGAAATCAAGGGAGACTGGAGACTTCTCGTTGGATTTGATAGAACAGCTTCAGTCGCTGTCCTGTATCGTGGTCGTCCATTTCACGCGTCAGGAGATTCAAAGGTTCTCGTCAAGGACGAAGAGTGGGCTTCTTTCCGGTTTCATAGTGATAACAGTGAAAACTCCCAAGCAGTGTGGGGGCAGAAATTTCCTTTGGGGGCAAATAAATGCTGCTGACAGTCAGAAGGCCGATGGTGGACTGCCACGTTGAGGTCCGAGACCCTGACCCTCTGTGTGCAGGTAGGAGTTTGAAAAAGACTCGGGTTTAGTTTGTCATTTTACATCATCCAGTTCCTCTTTGGGAAAGAATACGTGAAACACAGAAGAGCCCTTACCTACCGTGAAAAACTCAGAATGGTTGCCCTTTGTCTTGATTCATCTAGGATATGTGTAATTTTAAAGGTAAATATTTAAATCGTTGGTCAGCTGTGCAGTTGAGCTAGGTTGTCGGTCAAGGAAAAGACCTTGTGTGTTTATAGTCTTTAGATACAATGACAAAGTGTTGGCAGGTATCTGAAACTTCAGTGCCTTCCAAACATTATCTCGCAAGTTTATCGATAGTGGCATCAATAGAATTGATAATGCTTGAAAATGTTTGTTTATGCACCCACATGCTTCGCATGTATGTATGTATTTAAAGAGGCATCATATTCATATTTTCTTTTAAAGGTATATGACGGGCATGGTTCTCTATCAGTCAATACAGATCCAGATTTTCTTCGTGAGTTCAAAGTATTGTATGATAGAACTATACCATCATTTACTTGCTCACTTCTTATCAGTGCATTTGAAAGGTATTGCTTGTTCCCAGGTACTAAGGCATCAGTACGTATCCGTGTCCTTGTTTCTTCGTGTAGTTGCCTAATTATTTCAGACAAGTTTCTAGGTGTAGAATTGCCGGGTCGGAAAGTACAGAACGCTTGACTTTTTAAAACGATCCTCTTAGATCGAGAAAAAGCTAAAACAATGACAGGGGAAGTTTGACAGGGTCCAGAGGAGTGATACTCTGATGTTTCTCTTGTTTCTTGGCTTTCTTTCGTCCTTAACCCTTCATGGTGGTGTAACGGTATTCTTTCTCCCTTTGTAGTAAGCTGCGCTAGAGCAAAATGCAGTGAGAGAAGCACTGGATGAATGAAAGCCCTGCTTTGCAGCCCCTCAGCATGGCGGGCCTGCAGCTCGTGACCCCTGCCTCCTCACCAATGGGCCCTTTCTTTGGACTGCCATGGCAACAAGAAGCAATCCATGATAACATTTATACGCCAAGAAAATACCAGGTACTAATGAGAACACTAATACTGGAGCGCCTCCACTGAAATGGAGTCAATTAGCACGTAGTTGACATGTCTTATGTAAAACCCATTTACCTTTTCAAGCTCTCCTCTTCTGAGTAATTTTCTCCTTCCAGATACTTTTGTTCCTAATGGCCCTTTTCTTTTCTAACATCTGCCGGCCGATTGACGTAATCATTTTGTTTGTGAAGTTCCTTATTGTTTCCCCTCTGAAAACCTCTCCCCTCGCAATACCCGCTTGGGTGTGTCTGTCCTCAAGAGCTCGGAGGGAATGGAGACGGTTCGAACCACCACCAACGGGCAGGACCACGGTTACTGTAAACTCAGTTCTTCGTGTTATTCTGTCCCCCCTGCAAAAATATTTCTCAAACAGATTGTAAACGTTACCCCACGCGTGTTTCTACAGCACAGCTGGCCATACGTCGCAGGCATTTTCGCGCCTGTGATCTCCTTCCAGAAAGATGCAGAGAGTCTGTGTTTTGGCAGACTTAGCAGAGGAAGATCTCAGGAAGCAGTGACGTTTCCTGAATTAAGACAGAACCCAGTTTTCCCAGTGTTGTACCCAGATAAGAAGTGTGGCGTCTTCTTCCCCACTGTATTTCTAGGTGGAACTGCTCGAAGCAGCTCTGGATCATAACACCATAGTCTGTTTAAACACTGGCTCAGGGAAGACGTTTATTGCCGTACTACTCACTAAAGAGCTGTCCTATCAGATCAGGGGAGACTTCAACAGAAACGGAAAAAGGACGGTGTTCTTGGTCAACTCTGGTAATGCAGAAATTGTTTTATCATACTGTGTGGAGGACATTGGATGAGATTTTACGGTTGAGCACATTTTTAAAAAAAGTTTATTTATTTTGAGAGAGAGAGAGAGAATGGGGGAGGGGCAGAGAGGGAGGGAACGGGGAACCCCAAGCGGGCCCTGAGCTGTGAGCACAGAGCCCGACGTGGGGCTTAATCTCACAAACCGTGAGATATGACCTAAGACCAAACCAAGAGTCGGACGCTTTACCGACTAAGCCACCCAGGGGTGTCCCGTAAGCACTTTTTCTCTGTGGCTATTAAGTTAGATGATGGAACGTATAGAGGGTTTGAAGAATAATATGTTTGTTGAGATTCTGAGAGCAGAAATAGCATTTAGTCTTGTCTCTTAACTTTATAGTACATCTCTTTTAAGCGTCAGCCGTTTTATTTCACAGATGTTAAACTTCAGCTTTTTCCTTAAACGTATTTAATTCTGATGCTACGGTTTTTGCATGGGCTACCTTTCGGAACATAAGCTAATCTGTGTCGTCACAGTTATTTCTGGTTATATTTGTTTTAGCTTTGCAAAGTCCATCAAAAAGTGCTTGATTTATGAGACTGGTAGCATTGTGATTTGTGATTTTACTATGCCAATTACAGAAGGGGAGGGAGGTGCTTCTTAAAAGTTAGATATTCAGTTAGAGTCTGTGATCCTGGATTTGTGTTTGGCTTTACATATTAAAACAAAAAGTATAAAATGTGAACCTGAGCTGCTGGGGCAGTGGTCTCCTTTTTTGTTTTCAGATGGTCTCAACATGTGATGTTCTCCTGTACTTTAAATATATATGAGACCATCTTATTTCTTGGCAAAACAATCTGATTTTACTGAAGAAAACAGGAGTGGGGGGTGGATCTGGAGTAGTTCCCCTTCCAGCCTAGAAGTTCTGTTCTTAGGTTGGGAAAATCGGCTGTAAAGAAGGAGGGTGGCATAGGGTTCTCTGAAGTGAATGACGGAGGACCAGGTCTTAAGTCTAGTAAAAGCATTTTGGAGGATCACCTTGGAAATACGGTTTTCAATTGGCTATCTAAAAAATCAGGGGTTAGGTAATGATATATAATAATAAGGATTTCCTTAGCTGTCTTAATCATTAGTAGTCCAGAGAGCCAGCTATGTAAGATTTGTCCTATTTACAAGGAGTATTTGTATCTGTAATCAGCAAACCAGGTTGCTCCACAAGTGTCAGCTGTCAGAACTCATTCAGATCTCAAGGTTGGGGAATACTCAAGCCTGGAAGTAAATGCAGCTTGGACAAAAGAGAAATGGAACCAAGAGTTTACTAAGCACCAGGTAAGACTTGGAAAGAAATTTCCCTTTGTAAATCCCTACGAGTCCTCGACTCCGTCTATAAGATGACCTTTAGTCTTGGTTGTCTTTGTTTAGTTTGAAAACTCGTTCCTGTACTTTGTCAGCCTAGGAACTAGCCCTTCCGTACTCTTTCTCACGGTCTAAAACCAAATGAATAGGAACGTATAATGTTGCTCTTACTGCACAGGAGAGAAACAGCTTTGCAGTGTGATTTACTGGCTGGAAAAACACAAATTCTGATGACGTACTTCCCGCTTGTGGATAACCTGCTTTTCAGAAAATTTATGCTTGAGTTAAGTGTCTTGAGACTGGAGATGCTTCTCGGTTGAGACCTTTGGGTCTTTGACCAGAGACTTCCTCTGACTTACACGTTTGTGTGGAGCCAGCGTGCGTAGAGGGTCTTTTTGGTGTTGGTGTGTCTGAAGCGGTTAGGAGGTGCTCCGTAGCTCAGCTGGAGCAGTGCACACGGACTAGCGTGTCTCGCACACGGGGTTGAGTCCTCATCAATAAAACATTGAGATGTCCGCACAGAGATAGTGCCCTGAAAAGAACATTTGGTCGGTGTCTTCTTCCAGAAAACCTTGTCAGTTCAACGGGAAAAAAGAGGAAAACACAGGGTGAATTGTGTTGTCATTTGATTAAATCAATAGGTCTCATCAGTCAAAATGGGGCTAATAGGAACCTGAAAACCTGAAGTAGTTTTAGGAGACTTATCATAAAAGCATGGTCCCTGTTATCAAGAATTTTTTTCCCCTAATCTGTTTCCGTATTTGCCCATCTCTGCTTCTTGGTTCCAAAGTATTAGCTTGCATACGTTTAGAACGTCTGTTTTGATTTTGGCTAATGAGTTCCTCACTTCTCGCCTACAGAATGGTGGCTCCGTAATCTGATTTAATAGAAGTGTATCCAGGCAGGTAGGCAGGTGAACGCACGTTCATACACTGATGTCAGCTTTCTTTTAGGTTCTTGTTATGACCTGCTATGTCGCCTTGAATGTTTTGAAAAATGGTTACTTATCGCTGTCGGACATTAACCTTTTGGTGTTTGATGAGTGTCATCTTGCGATCCTAGACCACCCCTACCGAGAAATTATGAAGGTAAGTTTTTAGGTTTTTATCAGTCTTAATGCAAGTCAAATTCCTGAGAATAAGCGGTGTTTTTATATATCAAAAGCAGTAATATCCGTTACCAGTTTTGGGAGCTTCATTCCCTATGTGAACGAATGAATGTGAAATTAATTTTCACTGAGATCTATAATAATGAACTGTCATGCGTAACCTATAGTAAATCTAGTCCTGGGATAAACTTTTAAGCATAAGTAAATGAAGTACGTAATGCGTGATACATCCATTATGTCCTCTGTCGTAGCACATTGACATACGCTTCTTGGATACAGGGATCTTTGAAACAGGCTCCAGTCATTCCATAAGTGATACTTTTAGTGTCTGCCCATCTTCCTGATTTGTGTCAGTGTCTCTGTCGTCCTGGCCTCGCAGAACGAATGCCTCACTGTCAGCATCTCTTATCGTGTCAGCTCTGTGAAAACTGTCCATCGTGTCCTCGTATCTTGGGACTGACTGCTTCCATTTTAAATGGGAAATGCGACCCCGAGGAATTGGAAGAAAAGATTCAGAAGCTGGAGAAAATCCTCAAGAGTAATGCTGAGACCGCAACTGACCTGGTGGTCTTGGACAGGTAGGCGCTCGGCTGGGGTTTCCCCTTCCGTCCCTTTCCTGGGGCCTCCCGGGCAGCGCCTGTACAAGTGGACAGGTGCCTGAGGCAGGGAACGAGCGAGTCTGAGAATCCTTAGGGCAGGGACCTCCCCTTGTCTCCACAGAGAACAGCAGATGGAGGGGCTCCGTCTCTCAGAAGATGGCATGAGCGTGGGCCCCTCCTGTTTGCTGATGTGGACGAGGACCGGGAGCCAGGACAGGAAGCTTGTTTCTGCCCACGTGTGTTCATGGTCGTTCCAACCTAAGTGTCCGCGTGATGCTTTGCAAGAACACGACTTTATGGACAGAATTCAGTGTTTTGCGCTACGTTTAGAAAAAAAATTTTTTTTAATGTTTATGTTTGAGAGGGGGAGAGAGAGACAGAGCACGAGCAGGGGAGGGGCAGAGAGAGAGGGAGACACAGAATCCGAAGCAGGCTCTGCGCTGTCAGCACAGAGCCCGACGTGGGGCTCGAAGTCACGAACTGCGGGGTCGTGACCTGAGCTGACGTCGGACGCTTAACCGACTGAGCCCCCCGGGCGCCCCTACGCTACGTTTTAAACTGATTGGAAAAACCCCGGTGTTTTGCAAATGGGTGTGACTGTGTGAGAACAATGTTGTTTATGCTTTCTGGGTTTGTGTCTTTGGAAAGGTAGCTGCTTTGGGTTTCAGTAAAACGTGTACACATACACGCTTTTTGATTTGAGTTGGTGGATGGGAGCTTATACCAATTAGGTTTATAATGAAGTTGATTCAACTCACGTTAAAGCATCCTTATAGGCGATAGTTCTTGGAACAGTTATAATGACTAGAGAAGCCGATTTCTCAGGGAGTTAAATCAGACAGGTTTTGAAATCCTGGCTTCCACTGACTGGGAGTTGTATGACTTCAGGCGAGTCCTTTATTGTCCCGGAACCGGTAAAATGACGTTGACAGTGGTTTCGGGGGATTCCTTGATGATCAGTCGCGTTGATACATGGAAAACATCTTGCAGTGTACCTGCCATTTAATAGGAACTCGGGGAAAGATCTCTTTGTAGAACGAGAAGAAAAGGTAACGTTTCGGATCCGTGGGATGTAAGGATTCAAGATACATGAAATACACGCATGAGATACAAATCTCGCGACCTTTTGGACGAGGTGCTTTTGACTTTTTCGAGCCAGAATGAGCTGATGTGGCAGTGAAGGGCTGTTTTTGTTCCGAATTAGATTGGGAACCTGCAGTGCTTGAGGTTTGCAGAAGTGGAGGTATTAGGGCACTTAAGTAGAACTGATAAGCGGTCTATTGAACCTGGTACTTCCCAGTTCTCTAAGCGTGACTCTCTGGTTAAGTATAAATTCTGATGGAGAATAATGAAAACCGTAGTATTTACACAGGTCTTTAGTGTATTTCATTTCCTTAATCGTTGTTAGTGCTTTCATTTAAAAATTTTTTTCAATGTTTATTTTAGAGAGAGAGAGAGAGAGAGAGAGCGAGCGAGTGCGAGCATGGGGGGGGGGGGGGCGGGGGGCGCCCCAGAGGGAAAGAGAGCCAGAATCGGAAGGAAGCAGGCTCCAGGCTCCGAGCTGTCAGCACAGAGCCTGATGGAGAGCTAGAACCCACGAGCCACGAGATCATGACCTGGGCCGAAGTCGGATGCTTAAGCGACTGAGCCACCCAGGCGCCCCAGTCATTGTTAGTGTTTTCGAATATTATGTGCTGTTCTCGTTGTCCTAGTTCATGAAAGGCATAAGAGATCCAAGGATGATACCATAATCGGTTCAAAGTTAGGTGAGTTTTCCTTACAAGGATACGGTAAAAACACGTTAAAATAAAGTTGAATTTGCAGATGCTAAGAGTTTCGAGTAGTGTGGAGGTGGATAGATTCAATGATAGCATTTTCCCTCTATGATCCGCCCCCGTCCCTATTTCTGTGTCTGAGAAGTAATCATTATTGAGTTGTTTGAGTATCTCGATGCCCAAAGAGGCAAAAGCTGAAAGTCTAAACCTATAAACCCTGGGGTAATAAGGTCATGATAAGACTCACAGAATTCTTGGAACGTGGGCTCTAGACAGTCCCTCCTAGAGCCCTCCTGAGCAAGCGTAGCACATCTGAAAGTGAGCGCCCTGGGAGGAAGACCACCGCGAGCCTGCCTGTGATCCCAGGGTGTAGACACATATTCGGGGATCGTAGTGCGGGAGTGAGTTCACTGTGGCAGTGACACCCGTTGTTTCGTTACAGATACACTTCTCAACCGTGTGAGATTGTGGTGGACTGTGGGCCGTTCACGGACCGAAGTGGCCTCTATGGCAGGCTGCTGCTGGAGCTGGAGGAGGCACTGAACTTTATCAACGACTGTAACATATCTGTGCGTTCGAAAGAGAGAGATTCGACTTCAATTTCTAAGCAGGTAAGCGTGTACAAGTAAGTAGAGAAAGCAGAAGTTGAGTTTTCCTGTCGAAACGACAGTGTGCTTCTCGTGAGGCTGTTGGTATGTTTTAGTTCAAGGACTTGTCTTCTTATTCCTGGACTTTTTTCATGGAACAGATCATACCGGGTTGAGTTCATGGTCACCTGACATTATTAAATGTCGACCTCCTTGGTTTCAGGAAATAGGTTGGAAAAAGGAAAACAAGGAGATGGGTTGGGGTCCATTGTTGTTGTTGGGTCAGATGAGTTAGTCAAACCCTCGGGCTGAACGAATTCTTCTGCTGTTACCCGTGTGTAACTGGGTCTGAGCCCATCGCTCCTGAGTGGCACAGCTTTGGGAGGAGATCCTTTTTGATCAGTGGTTCCCAGAGTGTGGACTCCAGATCGGCAGTGTCAGCGTCCCCCTAGGACTTGTTAAAACAGATTAGGGACTCATCCTTTACCTGCTGAAGCTGAAGCTCAGGGGAGGGGTTCAGCTGGCTGAGACGTGACAAGTTCTCCAGGTATCCCGATGCATTGAAGTTTGAGAATCATCATCCTAGGACTTTGCAAACCATTTTTTTTGTTTGTTTTGTTTTGTTTAACGTTTATTTATTATTGAGAGAGAGAAAGAGACACAGAACATGAGCAGGGGAGGGCCAGAGAGACGGGGAGACACAGAATCCGAAGCAGGCTCCTGGCTCCGTGCTGTCCGCACAGAGCCCGATGCGGGGCTCGAACTCACAAACTGCGAGATCATGACCTGAGCCGAAGTCGGTCGCTCAACCACCTGAGCCACCCAGGCGCCCCACAAACCATTTGTGAAATAACACTGTTACATAGGAGTCCAGATTTCTCTCCTGATGATTTTTTTCTGGAGCAGCCGTGCTTAGACTCTTCTCAGCCCTTGATTTCTCATTAAGTCTGCATTCAACCCAGTTTGCCTTTTACTGGCCTGCAGACCCGACAGTCCCTCAGTTACAGCCTCGTTAGGGATTTACATTCTGCTCTGAGCTAAGAGCGGAAGATGCGGCTCTCTGGGCATAAAGTGCAAGGAAAATTCTCTTGCTCTTGTCTGACGCCTCAAAGAAAATTGCTCTGCTACATAATTCACCTTGCATGTCTACCTGGAAGTCAGTGATTCCGTTTTACTTGTAACAACAGACCTGAAATTAAATTTTATTAACCTTATACGGGTGCATCTTTTATATTCTGTTAATGATTACCTTTTCTGGGGAAGACAAAAGGATGGTTCTGGGCATACATGTATATGAAAAAGTAGAGATTGAAAAGCCCACCGGCCGCCCCCCTCAACCTTGGGGCACTGGCCTCAGTGTCTGGATGAGTGGGGTGAATGTATTTTGAAAGGGCCGATTGGAGACCGCTTCAGTCCCACTTGAACCGTGCGTGAAAACGCTGCGTGATGTTACCGTTCAGCATTTGGCTCTTTCTGTTGTCCTGTAGATACTGTCAGACTGTCGTGCCGTATTGGTGGTCCTGGGCCCCTGGTGTGCAGATAAGGTCGCTGGGATGATGGTCCGGGAGCTGCAGAAGTACATCAAACACGAGCAAGAGGAGCTGCACAGGAAATTTCTATTGTTTACAGACACCTTCCTAAGGAAAATCCATGCACTATGTGAAGAGCACTTCTCTCCTGCCTCACTTGACCTGAAATTTGTAACTCCTAAAGTAATAAAACTGCTCGAAATCTTGCGCAAGTACAAACCGTATGAGCGGCAGCAGTTCGAGAGCGTCGAGTGGTATAATAACAGGAATCAGGATAATTACGTGTCCTGGAGTGATTCTGAGGATGATGACGAGGACGAAGAGATCGAAGAAAAAGAGAAGCCGGAGACCAATTTCCCGTCTCCGTTCACCAACATCTTATGCGGGATCATTTTTGTGGAAAGAAGATACACAGCAGTTGTCTTAAACAGGTAAATAAACGTCCAAGATTAGCGGCTCTTCCCGTAGTGGAGCGAGGCAGCTTTTGGCTTGGTGAAGGGATGCTCTGTAATCGCTCTGAGACTGGCGGAAGGCCCGGGTGGGTGGCCTTCACTCGATACCGTCATGGGTCGTGTGCGATGCTGTACCGGCATCGACGGGGGGGACGTGCGTGTGACCGTCGCGTTCCCAAAAGGCTAGGTCTGACGTGACCTGAGATTTTTTTTCTCTTGAAGGATGTCCATTGGTCGTGACCTGTTTGACACAGAGAGCGAGTATGGAAAACTTCTGTGACGTTACAGTGAAACACTTTTTGTCTCCCGTTTAGTTGTCAGATGCAGTTCAGATAGTTCACCCGTGACTGTGTGTCAGGCTTTGTGTTGAGCATTTCACACCAGGCTTTCCCCTTCAGTAGTTGGAGGATAAATTTTACCGGGGAATCATCGTGGTTATTTTGTTGCCGCTGCTACTGTTAACTTTTTCCTCCTGACAAATGTCGATTCAGGGTTGCAGATCCGCGGTGGAAAAAGTTGAGAACAACTGGGTTTGCAGTTTGGCCTGGTTCATAGACTATATGTTAAAACTTTCTGACTCAGAAGAAAATAAAAATGTTGGGGAAGCATTCCGAGAATATTGGCAAAGGATGACCCTGCATCCAGACTAGGCCGTGGATGCCCGTCTCCCCCCTCCTCTTTGGCAGAAGTTGATTCTTCCTGAAGAAGAAGGTTGGCCCAGCCAGGGAGCGGTACTCCAGATCTGTGTCAGACGGTCTGGTAACGTGTGGTTCTTTCTGGTTTGTGTACAGATGCTGTGGTATCGAAGGGCCAGAAAGGGGCCTTATTTTGTGTTTCAGACAGTCAGACGACGATCTGTTTCTCTCTGAGATCCATTAACTGGCCAGAGCTGATCTCTAAGAGCCAGTTCCGCAAGTAGTGATCTCTGAGGAGAAATTCGGCTTTGGTTCCTGTGGTAATTTGGGATTTCCGCCCCCCCCCCCCCCAAACTGCTTCTCACTGTTTTGGGGCTTTGAAAACTTACTTGAGTAATGAGAAATTGGACTCTGGGGTAGTCATCTGGCGGTTTTTAGTCTGGTAATTTTCATAGTCATTGGGCCTGATCCTTATGATGAATACAAAGTAAAATAATGTTAGGTAGTGAATTACCTTGGAATCCGAAGTTTAAGGTTGGAAAGGGACTTGTTGACTATCTAATCCAGCCTACTTATTTTTATAAAAAAGAAAGGGCCTCAGGAGGAAAAGTGATCGGCTCTGAGTGAAATTGCTAGGCAGTGGCAGAGACAGTTCTAGAATCCTGATATCCTCCCTCCTAGTTTCCAGTTCCTTCTACGGTCATGATGCCCTTGGGCATCACAGAACACTAAAAACCAGCGCTTTGTAGTGGGCAGACCATCCGGGACGCAGACCAGGGAGCGCATGACCGTCAGGATTGTTTCTTAGAATGGGGGAGAGGCATTTCAAGGGTCAGCTCCAAGCTTCATTATAGCCCTGCCCCCAGACAGGATGGTTTAAGAATTAAATACACTTTAGGGGACTTGGAAGAAATGGGGTACATTTTCTTCTCCTCCCTCTTCTCTGTGTGAATTCTTAAATGTAGAGCTGTGCCAGTTTTCACTGCAGGAATACTAGCCTGAAACCCGTGTATCAAAAACCAGTCAGTTATTTCCTATTGACTTTGAGGATCAGATTAATTGTGATCAGCTTTCATGAAAAGTGCCTGGAATTTAGTGTTGGATGATGAATCAAGAGCGGTTTGAGAATCAACTTTATGGGCAGCTAATGAAATATACAATAGAGGTCTTGTTCCAGTAAGCTTTTTAATAAGCTTAGAAAAACTTCCTGAAATCCACATTCTTTCCTTCCATCAGTTTAATGGGAGGAAAACCCTTCCTCAGTGAATAGTTTCATGGGAGTCTAAGCTATTGTGATACATGGGCAGTTTTGTCCTCTCCTAATTAAAAAAAATGAATCATAGCTACTTCTGTGTGTAATGTAGCCACGTGTATAGTCTTAGGATTACACTTTTCCTTTTGCCTTACGTATGGGCTTTATGGTTTATAACTTACCTTTAATTTTGTTTTGTTTTTTTAGTTTATTTTTTGAGACAGGGAGTGAGAGCAAGGGAGGGGCAGAAAGAGAGGGAGAGAGAGAATCCCAGGCAGGCTCCGCACTGTCAGCACAGAACCCCGTGCAGAGCTTGAACCCATGAACTGCGAGATCATGGCCTGAGCCGAAACCAAGAGTCGGACGCTTACCTGACTGAGCCACCCAGATACCTTGGTTTCTAACTTACCTTTTAGATACATATTTAAAATTTTTTTCTTCTAACGTTTATTTTTGAGAGAGAGAGATACAGTGTGAGTGGGGGAGGGGCAGAGAGAGAGGGAGACGCAGAATCCGAAGCAGGCTCCAGGCTCTGAGCTGTCAGCACAGGGCCCGATGCGGGGCTCGAACTCACAGACCACGAGATCATGACCTGAGCCGGTTGGACGCTCAACCGACTGAGCCACCCAGGAGACCCGCTTTTAGATCTGTTTTTAAATTTTCCAACACTCCATGAGAAAGGAAGGTGCATGTATTAACTGTATCATAGATGAGGAAGTGAAGACTCCGTTTGTGATCCTCCCAAAATAAGGCAGATATGGCCCTTTTCACTGTGTCATTTATTAGTCTTGTAGGACAGTCGAATCTGACATGCCTGGGTTTACATCCTCTCTCTACCCCTCTCCCTCTGTCTCCCTAGTAACTTAAATGTTTACAGAAAAGTTGTAAAGAGATTACAGAACTCCCTTGTCCCCCTTAGTTGGCTTCCCCCATCCATTGTTAACATCTTACATTATCGTGTACATTTGGCCCAACCAGGAAACTAACATTGGTGTGCTACTGTTAACCAAACTTCAGACTTCAGTTTCATTTACCAGTTTTCCCGTTAGTGTCATCGTCTTAATCCCAGGTACCATGTTGCATCTAGTTGTGTGTCCCTGATCTCCACTGGTCTCTTGTATTTTCTCTTTTCCCGTGGTTCTGATGACCTTGACAGTCTTGAGGAGTACTGGCCAGGTAGTTCGTAGACTAGCTCTCAATTTGAATTTGTCTGATGTTTTTCTCAGGATTAAAATAGGGATTTAGGATATGGAAGGATACTGTAGAGATGAAGTGCCCTTCTCGTCACATCGCATCAGGGGGACTCATGGTTATCGACGTGAGACATCACCGGTGACATGAAACCTCGTCACGTGGTTATGGTCGTGTTTGCCAGGTTTCTCCTGGAAGGTGTTCTTTTTCTCCTTACTTTATTCTGTGGAAGCAAATCACTAAGCCAATTCATTTATTATTGGAATTCTTCTGTGAGGAAAACTTCTTCTTTCTTTGATTCTATTTATTATTTATATTCATTGACTTAGGTTCTTTTCTCACTGTGGACTCATCTTTATTTTTTTAAATATTTTCTTTTAACATGTATTCATTTTTGAGAGATAGTGCACGAGCAGGGGAGGGACAGAGAGAGAGGGAGAAGCGGAATCCGAAGCAGGCTCCAGGCTCCAAGCCGTCAGCACAGCCCGACACGGGGCTCCAACCCACAAACCCACGCGCGATCATGACCCAAGCCCAAGTCGGGCGCTCAACGGACCGAGCCACCCGGGCGCCCCTCACGTTTGTGTGTTTCGCACTTCAGGCTTTAACCTGACGTTAGGTCATTTACCTTGTTGCTCTCGTTCCGCTCTGAGCCGTTGGGGCTCCTTGAGGTCAGCTCCTGTGTCCCTTAGACATGCCCTCATCCTTTCTGTTGTTGCTCAGCCATTTCGTCAACGAGCCCCGGTTCCTTTTATTTCTACTCACTTTTTTAGATGTGTATTTTGTGGAAGCTATTTAACTTTTACAAAAAGTGTTTATTATTTTGAGAGAGAGAGAGAGAGAGAAAACATGCGTGGGGGGAGGGGCAGAGAGAGAGTGGGAGAGAGAGAGAATCCCAAGCAGATTCCACACTGATAGTGCGAAGGCCATGACCTGAGCTGAAATCAAGGGTTGGACGCTCAACTGACTGAGCCACCCGGGCAACCCGAAAGTCATTTAACTCTTTAAAGCCTCAGCATCTTCATTTGTAAGATAGAAATTACTTCTCTGTCTCTTAACGTATGTAAAAATGGCTGTTTTATCACCTGATACAGTAGGTGCTGTTTTCTCACGTGCTCTACGCACACATTTGGGGCGCGTAGTGTCTGTATACTAGAACTATCGGTGATGGTTCTTTTGGTGGAATCACAGGGGAATTACATTTGATTTGTTCATGTTGTTAAAAAAATGTAAGGCGTAAGGAGACTATTAAAAGCTGTTGTTCACATATTTTAGTACTTGGCAGACATTTCAAATGATGTGTTTGTTTCTTTGAATTTTTTCCCCATACGGTTGTCTGCACAAATTTGCAAGCTTAGTGAAATCACAGTTCTACTAGTTTTCTGAATCTAGTGCACATATTTCCTATTTCTGACCATGCTGCTTCATTTTTTGTTTCTTTGTTTTTTTTTTTAACATCTATTATTTTATCTTGAGAGAGAGAGTGAGAGACAATATCCCAAGCAAGCTCTGCACTGTCAGCACAGAGCCTGACACGGGGCTCCATCTCAGGAGATCAGGACCCGAGCCAAAATCCAGAGTCAGCCACCCAGCCCACTGAGCCACCCAGGCGCCCCTGCCCATGCTGTTTCTGATGTAACTGGGAGGCGATGCGTGTAACACAATGCATTGTGTGGGCTGGTGCCAACTGAGTGAGCTAGGTACAGAGATTGAGGGCAAACATCTAAAAACTCTCAGTTTTGACAGTGATGTCTGCTGCATATAAGACCGTTGGCTCTTGAATATTTGTTTCATTTTCTTAGTAAATTTTCACGGAAGTTGACAAAAAATACCGCTCTCTGATGGATTTGATACTAGAAAAAAATAAATAACTCGTTCTTAGCTGCAGATAGTTTGAGAAGCTCTATGCACTAGAGAGCAGCAGGGCTTATTGAACCGCTTGCTTGTGCGACAGCTGACAGAAACTCAGTGTGAAACTCAAAAGAAACAAGTAAGACTTCGTGGCCTCTGTTCATGGTACTGCGAAGTCTCTCAGTAGTTTGCGTAACTCACTTGTGAGCTCCCTGACCATCCTCGTTTCTCTGGAAGCCTATAGCTTTGTCTGAGGAGTGTGATTAGGCATCCCCTCATTTATCTGATAAAGTTTCCTCTCTAAACACCATCATCATAAGTATATAGCATTTAATTACTGCTTACAAGAGATTGGGTTTGTTAACGTGCATATTGTCTCTTCTGTCCTCTGCAGTATTGATGTGAGTTTCAGTAGGAGAAATACGTTTACTCTTAGTGCCTTCTGCTTCTCAGCTCGTTGAAATCTGCTAACGTGATCATTTTGGCAAAGTAAAACACATCCTTTGCCTGACTGAATTAATTATTTTGCCTACTGCCTGACATGAAGTGCATTTTTTAACCTCTTGATGCTTATTTGCATACACGATCCTTTGGAAGTACCTATTTCTAAGATAATAAATTTTGTATTTCAGGCATGCGATTTCTTGGCCTGTAACGCTTCTTTCTGTTACTGACATCGTAAGCTTATTATAATAACTAAACAAAGCTTGGAACATATTAAGGAGGTTTCTGATTCTGAACATTTTAAGTATTTGAATGTAGAACAGACGTGTAAACTAACCTAGACATGCATGTGTTTGGCTGATTTGGAGGCAGGGAGATATTCTAGATGGCCACTCAAGGTTTCTTCCAGCTCTTTGATATTAGTCTGTTTCATGTATTTAAAAAAAAAAAAAAAAGAATGGTTTGACTTAAAAATGCAATTTTCTATTAGGAATTTATACTATGCGTATGACTTCAGAAGAACCATCTGGAATCACTTACGTCAGGTGTGGAACCATTTATCCCGTGTGCTGAGTTTTTGAATGTGGATATTTCCAAAATAGCTGTAATGGCAACACTAACTGTTAACCTCTGTCCCCGAGTAACGTGACCCCCCTCCTGTAGCTTTCTTCCATCTCTCAACCAGAAGGCCCGCTTTAGGTTACTGGCGTTCTGGATTAATACAGAGCAACAGGCAGGAGGAGGGACGAGTTGGGGAGCCTGTCTTCCGTGACAGGATGGGATGGGGACTCTGGCACCGACTGCCGTGCCGAAGTCTGGCGTGTTCTGTTGTGCAGAACTGGGGTGGGGGGGGGGCGCCCGCCAGCGGCCGGGGGGCAGGAAAGTGTTGGGCCTGGAGGCGCGCCTCAGCAGACAGGCATCCGTTGCCCTGGAGCTCTGCTTCCAGTGATACAGGGCGTTGTGGTGAGATTAAAATAACCATGCTGTTTCGCACACAGCAGGAGCTCTCTTAGTGCATGTAGCCGGAGAATGAGGTTTCCCTCGCCTCCGCCTCTGAATCCCCTCTTGGCCTCAGGGTGTTGGTACGCATTCTGCATAAGTTTGGCCATAGAGACAGGGGCTTGACTGCAGCCGCAAGTTGTGTGTGTGTGTGTGTGTGTGTGTGTGTGTGTGTGTGTGTGTGTGT